CTACCAAATCTGGTGCCACCAAATGTTAGTCTGGAGCACTGCTTTAGGCCGTGTGTCCACCAAAGCATTTTTCCACGCGGCTGGCGTACGTTGTCAATGGGAGTGCCGCGTTTTTTAAACGCCATGAACGTAACAAGGCGGAGGCGCTGAGCGCTTTTTACTGGTTCCCTAGAGTTGAAAAATGTTCAACTTTGGATAAAACGCAGCGCTCATCACTGTCACTTTTTACCCACCCTTCCAATCACAGTGGAGGAGGGGCGGTACTAAACCACACTGACCAACTGTCACAACATTCTTTCTGTACAACGACATCAACCAGCAGAGCTAACCACGCAAAATGGATGAAAAATATTTTTTTGGTATGAAACACATTATCTGCGAAATCAGTTACAAGTAAACTGTGCTGCGGATATTCTGCATCAGAGCAACGAAACGTCTCAACGGAAAAAACGCTGCGCTGCCAAAATGCTCTCAAGCGTCCAAAGCACGGCGTCTTCAGCAGAGCGTCTAGCGTTTTCAGCTGGCTAAAAACACTTTGGTAGACACAGCCTTAGTGTGACTTCAAAATCCAACTTTTAGAAATGCATCCTGCTGTCCTGGGAAACTGTTTCCATGGAAAAAAAATTGACCTTAAAGCCTCTGAGCTTCTGTCTTTAGAGGATTCCCATTTTTTGTTTTTAAGCCAGCACTTTCTCATGTCACTGTATGCTAATAGAGAACATCACTAAGCATGAATGATGCATTGGGTTCATCATACAGTACCTGAGGGACAAAATGTGTCCTTTGAGAGATGTCTGTCCTTCTGGTTTTGTTCTACTTCTCTTCCTGTTTGTTATTGGTGATAAAAAAGGGAAAATTATCTAATATTTAGGAGGCGTATTGACCTTGGCACGCAGTCATAATGGACTTCAGGATTTTTTTTTTTTTAATGATAACTGTTTTAGATTTTTATAGCATATTATTGCACATTGCATACCACCACACCAATGCCTTTTTTTAAAGAAATGATAATGAAAAAATATGCCTAACTACTGTCATGGAAGGCAAAATCACTATTTATCTATTTTCTAAATGCATGTTATTTATCTTATTTTGAACAAAAGCATACGTTTCATTTTTAATGGGCCATAACACAGTTTTCAACTATGGGGGAAACCTTTAAAAATGTAAAACATTTAATCAAAATGTCTCATCTTGAACTTCCTTTGAAACAACAGACTTCTTTGGATGCCAAAATATGTCTTATGGGTTTGGAACGACATGACAGACTGATGCCATAACTTTTATCTTTGGGTGAACAATCACTTTAAGTTTTATCTTTTCAAGAATTTCAGATTTCTATTTAGTCTTTTTATTCATTATGATATCAGGACATTTGTATCACCCTGTCATTTTTTTTTTTAATAAAAAATGTCATTGATTTTTAATTGCTGCTGTCATTGATCCATATGTCTCCTAATGGAATATATAATGTCCTTTCCTATAAAGGGTTAAATTACATGTTATATTAGTTCTGAAAGGAAAAACACCTCTTGTCATTAGAAATGCACAATACCAGACACATTCCTCCTCATTTGAATGTAAACGCGCCATGTGTAACCATCCTCCTTAGCATCTCTGTCTCACAACACACCTAAATATACACACATGGTATATCATGCTGCTTTTTGCTCCTAAAAGTAGGTCACCCCCTCTCTCTCCTCAGTTGAGCGGACACATGAACACCTGCACTCTTTCTCTCTCTCTCTCCTCCTATTCTGTCATAGTATATAGAGGAAGTTATTGTCATTTTGTATTCTCTGCAGGTGTGTATTGAGAAAGAGGGAGGAGTTTAGGGTGAGTGAGTTTGTGTGTTGTTTACTGAGTAGGGAAAGCAACGGTGAGATGAGCGTGTCAGTGTGAAAGCGGGTGCATGGATCATCTGCTACAGGAAGGAAACTGCTGGGTACTGATGTTTGTGGTTGTGTGTTAATGTGTTGTGCACATTTAAATGTGTATTTCTTTACTATACACAACTGAGTCTGTTTTAAGTGATGGGTCAACATGTCTCTTGTTTGGTTTGATCTTTATGTTTATACTCTGATAAGCAGCAACATTGAGATTTGTATCGCATCGCACATTTATTTCACTGCCTGTTCGCAGTATTCACAATGCCCAAATAAGAGGTACGGCTCTGCATAGCACTGGCATTTGTGCAAGCGTTTCATATTTGAAAATGTATTGTGAGGCTCTGGATCTTTAGAAAAGCATGGTTTAAAGGGATAGTTCACCCGAAGGTGAAAGTTAGCCGGGCCATTCCACCGAATGGGTGACATTTGCTTGTTGTAACTCTTCAAAAATAAACTTTATTTTTGATCTTTTTCAACATTGAATCTAATACTACACATATTTAACTATTCAAAATTTGTATTGGTCAATCTCAGGCAACTTTATTTATTTTTTTACAAGGTTTAAGCAGAATATGGACGCATGTTTTCTCAATCCTGTTACCAAAAATCATGGGTCATTTAAAAAGCAAGTTTAGAAGCATGTCAATTAATTCATTTGTTTTCCCCACAAGAAAGTGTTTATTTTAAAGAAACTATTGGTTATATGTTCAAAAAATTGATATTTGTGCCAATAAAATCACTATTAAAGCAAGGTGTATTTTGATATAAAAAACACAGGCTTTTTTTTTCATTTTAAAGACCACCGAAGCCTCAAGCTTATATATTTATTTAGAATTAATTCATTAAATAATTATATAAATTATAGGCCAAACAAAAAATGATAAAAATAGTGGTTTAATTTTATTTTTTTAGAAAAATAAACAAATAGTAACAGGACTGAAGGTAACAGGATTGAGTTTTTAAGCAAAAAGTTATCAAATATATGGCATATGGCCACATAGCATTGATGCTAATAGCGTGAGGACACTGAGCCATTTCTAGTGCCTTACCAAAAGTTAATATTTTTAAAATAAAACAATTAAATCTAAGAAAACGTTTAGATAACAGGACTGTATGTTGAGATTGACCTTCTCATTCATAGTTACAATTTCATCAAATATACAGAAACGAAAATGAGAGGAGTGACTTATAGTCACCCCATTGCCTTCAGAAGATCCAGATGATGAAACTTACTGTTGAAAATGTGTCTTGTGGAATATTCTACGTTATTCAGCAGGGGGATGTAATAGTGTAACAGGACTGAGTGAAAACCTGGGGACATGACTAAAATGTGTATTTTATCTAAAATATTAGATCAAATGTTTTTTTCTTTTTTCATTTTAAAGCAGTTTGGATATAAAGTCATCCAAAAATGCAAGAAAAATCAGATTTCTGAAGGATTTTAATCATAATATTTCATGGTAAAGTTTAGAGATAGAGAGTTGGGACATGCAGAAAATGCTATTTTTTAGTGTTCTGTGTCGTTTTTGTTAATGTTTTTAATTATACGTTTTAAATTTGTAGTTAGCTTAATGTGCATGACATTTTGCTTAATAATAAAATGTATTTTAGAGATAATTTTCATGCAATTTTATACATATAAGGTCCTGGGGACAGAAATGTCACCCTTTCGGTGGAATGGCTCAGCCCATGATTTACTCACTCTCGAACCACCCTAGGTGTATATTCTTCCAAGCTAATGGCAGTGAATGGTTGTTTTTGCTTGAAATCCATAAAGTCTATCTATTGCGTTATTTGATATCCATCTGTTGCGCTTTATACTTACAGTAAGTCGAATCCATTTGTTAATTTGGCTGGAAGCTAGATATTTTACTTCATAAAGTTTTAAATATGGATATTTTTCTTACACAAACACATAGCTTCACTTCAGAAGGCCTTTATTATATTGGAGCCATGTAGATAACTTATATGATGGATAGATGCCCTTTTATGGATGTCAAAATGGAAACTAACCATTTACTGCCATTATAAAGCTTGGAAGAGCCAGGACATTTCTTTTTATTGTATTCATTTGTAATAATTAAACATTTAAATGGTGTCTATCATAAAAACTTGCCAGATTTATTAAAATATGCATTGAATATTGAAGAACTTTAAGATTATAATGCATATGTAATATGGTGTATATATTTAGCAAAATGCTCCTCTCTGGAGTTATTTTTTCTAGCTGACTAACGAGTTGATGTGGGTCTTCTGAGGTAAATATGACGATACATGACATGACATTGATTACAAGCTGTTTACTGACGTATTTCCACGGTTGAAACGCTGATTGAGCGAATCAACGTGACATGATACGGATTTCGATAAGTTGTACTCTATCTTTTAACACACTTTCAGATTCTCATTCATATTTATTTCGCGCTGTGACTGGTATTATTAACCCGGAAGAGAGATCAGCGCTGCTGCTACTATTGAGCTGCGCCAGAACGATCTCACGCCACAGCGCCAAAACGTTATTTATGTTTTTGAATTTCTAAAGAAAATGGACGTAATTTGAAAATTGAGACTTTGTTTCATATCAATAGTAACAAAGGACAAAGATTATTGCGATTTTTTTGAATGCGCGCAGCCGCGATACAATGTCCCATTCATTCAAATGAAACAGGATGACTAATCGATTCTTGAGACTTAAGAATCGATATCGGTTCGTAAAAATGAGAATCGATTAATATCGAGAAATCGATATTTATTACCCAGCCCTAGTAATAATAATGTCATTTACACCTAGGATGACTTGTGGGTGAGTATAAATCATGGGCTAATTTTCATTTTTGGGTGAACTATCCTTTTAAGTTGCGTGGTTGGGAGCAACAGAAAATGTGTTGGATGAGGTTTAAGAATGTAGACGACACTGAGAGGAAATGTGGTCGGCTGCAGTGATAATATCACATGTACTCTTTCAGCAGGAAATGATTAGTATTGATGATTTTGCAGCGCTAATCAATATCCCTGACCTTTCTCTTCTAATTCTAATTAGCAGCGCTCAGAGGCTAGAGTTTTACATCATTACTGTGTCTGATGCCTAATACCCATCTTTCTCTTTCTCAGGCCTGGGGAAAACGAAACGCAAAACGAGCACACGGGAAGCCTCTCCAACTCCCAGCACGGATGAGTACTCCTCAAATGGGGGCGGGGCTGAACGAATATACGACCTGAACACTCCAGCCACGGTGAAGTTTGCCTACAACGCGGAACGGGAGGATGAGCTCAGCCTGGTGAAGGGGGTGCGGCTGATGGTCATGGAGAAATGCAGTGACGGCTGGTGGAGGGGCAGCTATAACGGTCAATCGGGCTGGTTCCCCTCCAACTACGTCCAAGTGGAGGAGGAGGTGGAGGACACTTCGGCCGACTTTCCCGCGGTCTTCTCCTCACAGCCGGGCTTCAGTAACGGTCAGGGTCCCAGAGTCCTTCACACTGTTCAGACGCTCTACCCCTTCAGCTCCGTCACGGAGGAAGAGCTGAACTTTGAGAAGGGTGAGACGATGGAGGTGCTGGAGAAGCCAGAGAACGACCCAGAATGGTGGAGGTGTAAGAACTGCCGTGGGCAGGTGGGTCTGGTGCCAAAGAACTATGTGGTTGTGCTCAACGATGGTCCGTTATCGACGGCCTCGGGCTCCCATTCCCAGCAGAACAGCCACACGGGGCCCTCCCACACAGGGAAATTTGCCGGAATGGACTGGTACTATGGTAACGTGACACGGCACCAGGCCGAGTGTGCGCTGAACGAGAGGGGGGTGGAGGGAGACTTCCTCGTGAGAGACAGCGAGTCCTCTGTGAGTTGAGTATTTATCTGGATCTAATCAAAATGCAGTGACCAGATAATTGCTGTAAATAGCTGTGAATAGTCAGTCACTCGAGTGCTTTGCAGTTATTTGTGTCCATGGTGTCATTTGCAGGGTTATTCTGATTATCTAACACAAACTATTGAAATATGTTTCTTACGAATATAAATATTAGATGAAAAACCAAGCATTTATTACTTGTCTGTCTGCAACACTCTGTTAAAGGGATAGTTCACTTTGAAATTAATTTTTGATATGTTTTAGCTTACCTCAAGGGGATCCAAGATGTAGGTGTCTTTGTTTCCACAGCATTTTCAATTTTGACATTTTTTGGTCAAAACGTTGTTGTCTGTCAGTGATACACTGGAGATGAAGGGGGTCCTCAATCGGTTCACCTCAAAGAGCATGCACAGAGAAGTCAAAATTAAACATGATTTAATGACTCGTAAATGTAAGTACACATTGATGGCCTAAGACACGAAACGAGCGGTTTGTGTGAGAAAACGAACAGTATTTATATCGTTTTACCTCTTGTAATCATAGCCATGACAAAATGATCTGACGGCACGGGCGCTTCGGTCTGCGCATGCGCTGGAAGTGATCACTTGCGCGCCGACGTCATTCTTTGTTTATATAGAGATTTCGGAAGTTTTACCTTTCACTAAACATATTTAGATATACGGGAAACCACAATGGAAGACGATTTCGGTATATCTAAATATGTTAAGTAAAAGGTAAAACTTCCGAAATCTCCGTGTAAATATTGAGTGACGTCACATGCAAGCAATCACTTCCGGCGCAACATTGAACTGATTCAGTTCGGTCCAGTTGGACATTGCACAACGGATTCAGATCACTTGGATTACAAGAGGTAAAAACGATAACGATATAAATACTGTTCGTTTTCTCACAAAAACTGCTCGTTTCGTGTCTTAGGCCATCAATGTGTACTTACATTTACGAGTCATTAAATCATGTTTAATTTTGGCTTCTCTGTGCATGCTTTTTGGTGGACCCCTTATCCTCCAGTGTATGACTGATAGACAACAACAGTTTGACTGAAAAATGTCAAAATTGAAAATACTGTGGAAACAAAGATACCTACATCTTGGATGCCCTTGAGGTAAGCTAAAACATATCGAAAATTAATTTCAAAGTGAACTATCCCTCTAAGTTCCGGTCTCCATGAAGCCCCTCCTTCCGAAAAGCACAATGTGCTCTGATTGGTTGACTGGATCAGTGTGTTGTGATTGATCAACCGCTTTAATAGTGTTTCGGAAATGTCACGCCAGATCCGTAGAGGAAAAAAAAACTTGTCTCTTGGACATGGTAACAATACACAACTAACACGACTCAACCAGGCCTCGTCCCCAATATTATGTGTATGCTATAGTGGGGAATTATTTAAATGAGGAATATTGTGACGTACGTTCCTGGAAGACAACACGACTATAATTGAGGATTTTCAGGGAGTTCAGAAACTTATTATACTTATTAATATAGAGAAAAACTGCGTTTGGAGTGACTTTGGAAGTGCTTTGGAACTTTGCTGACATGCTCAAACAGCAACATTACATATAAAGTTATGTATTCAACTTAGAAAGTTAAACGTAATAATAGGTCCTCTTTAAGTTGAAGCACTAAAATTACCAACTCGAAATGAATTGTATTGTTTATTGTGTTTGTCTTTTGATTACTCAAATTATGCAGATTAATTTTGCCATTAATAGTCTTGCCATAGTAACGCATAATTCTGAGTCAGAGGACATGAACAGCTCAGAGTTGTTGAGAACACCCAGGTTGTCAGTAATTATGATAATTGCAATATATTGTGAAAGAAAGCACCATGTGTGTCAAGGAAAAAAGTCTTAAAATATGAGATAATTTGACTTTATGACTAGGCGAAGTTAGTTCAGGTTGTAAAATGTCATGTGGTGCGAATCTCTATAAACTTAAATGAACTGATATTTGTAAAAAATAAAATAAAAATTTTTTAGTTCAAATTAATGATTGTAGTGTGAACGTTCACGTCTTCACTGTTTAAAGAAAATGTTTCTTTTTACTTGACATTTTAGAGCTATTAAACTTCTTGAAAATGGTTAAGTTTTTCAAAACCAGCAGAGTACATTTTTCAAAGCTTGACAATTAAAGTACATTTCTTTAAGGTCACTGAAATGAAACTGCTTGTCTATATAGAGCAGTTGTTTTCAAACTCGAAATGATGGCGCCATCTGTAGGCTGAAGCCCGCTAATGAATATTCTGTTTCTTTCTCTCTAGCCAAGTGATTTCTCCGTGTCTCTGAAAGCAGTGGGGAAGAACAAACACTTCAAGGTGCAGTTGTCGAATGGAGTTTACTGTATCGGTCAACGCCGCTTCAATTCTATGGATGAACTGTTAGAGCACTACAAGAAAGCTCCCATTTTCACTAGCGAACATGGAGAAAAGCTTTACCTGATCAAACCCCTCCAGTGACCTTCCACACACAAATGAGCCTTACAACCAGACCAGATCTGACCTCACACTGAGCCAAGTGATCTGCAACTCCTACCTAACGCTCGTTTCTCACCAGCAAACAGGACTTGCCGAACACCAACACACTGGAAAATCACAGGAATTAACTTTACTGTTAAAGTAATGATGCGACGTATCCTTTCTTTCCCTGTGTCTCCATGTTACTTTAACTGATGATTTTTATTACCTGGAGTGGCTCATGAAAATGAATATCGCCTTTTCAAAGTGATAATGTAAGCACTTGCCCATTGCCTTTTGACCGACAGCTCAATTTCTGTTCACACTACATGAAAGCCAACAGATGTGGCCTTCATCCCATACATCCTGAGACTATTTTGGCAGCACAATATTCAAGGTTGTCACGGGACAAGTGCATGGATACAGACACAGGAATTACAGGAAACTGTATGTACATAAGAGTTGCCAAAGAGAGACTTGGTGACAGTCGCCTCCTGCTGGATGAACTGAGAAATGCCAACAGGAGGGTCTTTATAAGATGAATGTTTTGTAGATGCTTAACCAAATGTGCCACCTTCACATTCAAGCACCGCTACTTTGATATATATAAGAGAACTATATCCACCTCATTCAGATTCACACATCTGTATCAATATTAAAGTGTTGGCATAGACCTTATTACAGCAAATCTTTTAGTTTCCATTTCGAAAGGGCACCATTCAATCGTAATGGTTTGATCTATTTACTAATGAGTCTGTTCTTCATTTACTTTCCAAACTTTTATAAAAAATATGGTACGTCTGAATGTTACTGAGCATTGTTATTTAAACCATGTTTATTTAAGGAACGAAAAAAGCTGCAGAGATGGACCGTGTAGTCCGCTCCACATCCATGATGGCTGTGCAAAACGTTTAAATACTGTTGTTTAATTAAACACTTTGCAAGAGTATTAACAAAGCTGTGTGATTTGTATTGTTTCTTGGTTGCATATACTTACCATTGAAAAGTTTGGGGTCAGTATACAATCTTAGTTACTGTTTTAAGAAGTTTCATGTTCACCAAGGCTGCATTTATTTGATAATAATTAAAAAAAGGTAAAAACAGAACAACTGCACTGCAAAGCATTATTACAATTGGATTATTACATTATTACAATTACTGAATTATTAAAATTTTATATATATATATATATATATATATATATATATATATATATATATATATACACACACACACCCCTTTTATATATATATATATATATATATATATATATATATATATATATATATATATATATATATATATATATCCAGGACCAGTGTTCAATTGTACGTTTTGCTATGTATGGACACTCACTGTGATTTATTTATTTTTTTTTCTTCTTCCAGGATTATTTAATTAATTAATTTCAAACGAACAACATTTATCTGAAATTGAAATCTTTTGTAACATAAGTTTTACTGTCCCTTTTGATACTGGTCGGACCACTGCGGAGTAGCCCAGTAATACCTGCGTGACTCGCCATAGACATAAACAGAGAGAAGTAGCTTCTCCGGCTACAATGTTCTTCCGCAAGACGCATCCAGTTCTGTTTATTAACCGCTAGAGCGCCAAAAGTTGCGGGAGCCCTGCAGCTTTAAAAGAGCATGTGGAATAAAAAGAAAGTTCTTGGGGTTTGTGAAATTGTGACCATAGACATAAGCCTATGATATAAGTCTGTGAAAGGCAAGTCGAGTCAGTGCGTTTCATTGTGGGATACTCCAGTCTGTGCTCGTCTGTGCTATGTTTTGTAGTTGGCCATCCGGTTGTATATATCCGCTATAGGTCTACATACTGAATATTATTTGCATATTGTGCACAGTAGGCTACCGTTATGCTCTTAGTAGCATAATTGAGTGTAGCCTCCAAATAAGTCTTTGTGTTTAGACATACTGGTCACTGGAGGGCGCTGAAGTTGCCTATTATATCATTGCAGAGCCATATAACAGGTTTATCTTGACAACCTTTTTGGAATGTTCTGAATTCATTATTTTGTCTGCCAGCAAATTAGCCACATGTTGAAAACATTAGAAACATGCAGAATATTTTCTTTATTTTATTTTATTGAGTAATTTCTGTTTTATGTCAGTTTAAAACACACCATTTCAGCCATTTTCATTTACTTTGCATATACCCAAATGGGAGAGAACCTATAACTTATGGCTTGAGTCTGCTTCACAGGACGGAGGTTTGTGGAAGCTTGTTTCCGCCACTGACTTTTTGTTTTACAATCCTGACCTTTTCTCTCAATTGTGAGTTTTTATCTCACAATTCGGTGAAAAGGGGAGAATTACAAGTTAGAAAGTTGCAATTGCATTAAATTGTGATGTATAAACTCACATACACAGACAACAAGACAGTTCTAGCCCTGACTTGGGTTCTACTTAAAGGTCTGGGCTCCATGACACCACAATTGGATCCAGGAACAGTTGCTGCAGGTAATCTTAGGCAGACACACTGGTGTAAGAATCATTTCTGTGGTTCCTTTAATGCAATCTTTTTTGTGTGTGTGTTTTATGTTAGAATCTCTTTGATGTTTGAAAACAGAAAAATTGACTGCAGAGCCTTATATTGAGTGTGTTGCTATATGCTACTTTCAGGTGACCATGTTTCGTCTGTATTTCTCATTCTTCCTTTGTTTGGTTTGGCTTGGACTGCTCTCTCTCACAGGTAAGAAAACATGACACTTTGATTTTGTACATTCAAATGTGTGGGGTCATTGTTGTGATCACTTTTTATTTTAATTGTTTTCCTCACCAATACTGCATTTATTTGACAAACTCAAATTTAATATTCAGTGAAATATTAAATGTTAAAAAATATATATTTTTTTATTTTAATAGGCTATTTTAAAATTTAATTTATTCCTGTTGCAAAGCTGAACTTCCGGCATCATTAGTATTCAGTTTCACACAATCCTTCAGAAATCATTCTAATAAGGTGATTTGCTGCTCATAAACATTTCTCATAATCATCACTGTTAAAGACATCTGCGGTCTTAGTCTTGCTTTGGAAACCGTGACACCAGGATTGATTATTATCCCCCCAGGATTATTTGATGAATAGATGACTCAAAAGGACATTTATTTGAAATGGAATAACAATATAAAAGGCTTTCCTGTCAACAGTTTAATACATTCTTGCTGAATACAGTTATTCATTTATTTCAAATCATTTGAATGGTAGTGTATAGGGAAAACAAGTCTTCATAAATCTTCATCTGTATTCATCATAAATCTGACGTAAAACATGGCTGCAGTGTGCATCATAAATCTGATGGAAAACATGTCTGCAGTGTGCATTGAGATTTTGTAGAGAAGTTTTAGTATCACTTTCTATGAAGCCTGTATAACGCACCGTAAGCCTATTGGACGTAGAACAATTGCCACCAATGGTCTCTAGGATCAATTTAGACTTATGATGCTTATGATAAAATTCTGTAATATTGCTAAATATTTATGTATCCCCAACTAAGCAAGCCAAAAGACAACAGAGGCAAAGAACACAAACTCCATCAGAGAAAAGAGAAAAAAGGGGGGTAAAACTTGAGAGAAAACAAACTCAGTCAGAGTGCCAGTTCTCCTCTAACCAGATAAGCAAACATGGTGTGGTTTAATTCAGTTAAAATGCATTATAGTACTTCAAAGTTATAACCACAATTTATATATATATATATATATATATATATATATATATATATATATGAAGAGTTCAGGTGCAAAAGCCTCTAAGTGCCATTTGAAATTTTCTTCTAGAATGATCATTTTTATCAAGCTTGTATATTTAAGTTCAGTAATTTCACTTAAATTACAATTAATAGGTAATCTTCATTACAATTTAAGTGAAGTTACTGAACTTAAATATACAAGCTTGATAAAAATGATCATTCTAGAAGAAAATTTCAAATGGCACTTAGAGGCTTTTGCATCTGAACTCTTCATATATATATATATATATATATATATAACTAAGTGTATTTACACAAGAAAGGACTTAATATGGGTTAGGTTTAGGGTTACTGCCTATTATAGTTGTACACAATGCATGGAGAACAGGACTGTAAAATAAAGTATCATCTTGCATTATAACATTATCATACATTTTTTATGAAATTATACATATTATAACAGATACAACATATTACACAAGGCATTATGCAAGAAGAGTACCCTTATAATGCATTATTAACAGATTTAATAGAAAGTGTTCCTGGATTTATTTATTTATTTATTTATTTATTTTTTAGCAGTCAGGTTGGAGCCTTTATGCTCATTTCAATGTTTTTCTCATGTGAATCTGTTGTGAGGTAGACAAGAATGGCAAAATTGCGTAAATGACATAAAAACAGCTAAAGGCTGTCAGGTTTGACGTACTCGTTTAGCTGAAATCTGCTGGCTTTGTCAAACATGCTGAAAGAACATTGGCAGAACATTGAGATTGAGAACAGACAAAAGCTCAACTGTTCCTCCAAACATGGGACTGCTTACCAAATCAGACAGCTCTACTTCTTTTTACCTGTGAGTGAGTGTGTGCGCAAGCTTAGTCGGCTCCTGTGAACATAGAAGCTGTGACAGACAAGGATAACAGATGAATGGGGAGCTTATAAATAATGTGACATGGGAAGCTCTCAAGGTATTTGCACCATATATGCAAGAACTGAAATTTAGTCTAACATATCTTGTTTGTTCTTTTCTTCCGATCTACTAAAAACGGGGCATCATTGGAACGATTAGTCTTAAATTAAGATCAGTGCAGTAATTTAAGTCACATTGCTGTCTGCTTTCCAGATGTGTCAGCAGTCAGCCTCATATTGCTTCACGCATACACATCCTTGCCTTAAAAGAGTTGCATCTATACCTTCTTTTTGATATATAAATATATTCAATGTCCCTCCGTTTGTTTGCCTTATAGGGGCAGAGGAAAACCAAGGTGAGTTTTAAATCACTTTATAAACTATTTAATTTGCAACCTGTACTGTGAGGGCAATGGTTCCTAAAATATGACAATACGCCTTATTCACGGCAGCGCCATCTTTGATTTTTAATGAGAATGAAAGCGAGGCTGTGAGGGGTAGACTTGCATCTCTTCAATGAGCTGTATTGTTATTTAATGTGTTTTCGGATTGTTCTGCTCATGAAACACAGGCAAAATATCTTTCAATGAAATGTCAGTTGACAAAAAACTCCTGACAATGTAAGCTGTGGAAAATTGTAAGTAATCTAGGAGCTTTATTCCGCTTTTTACAGCGGATGCCATTGAAAACACCTGTCATAGCGCTGCTCTGAATAAGGTCTATTGGGGGAAAAGTATGAAAAATCGATATAATTAGCCATACCATTTCTGCAAAAAGAAATGTTAAATAGCTTTATATATATATATATATATATATGAAGAATTCAGATGCAAAAGCCTCTAAATGCCATTTGAAATTTTCTTCTTTAATGATGATTTTTATCAAACTTGTATATTTAAGTTCAGTAATTTCACTTAAATAACAATTAATAGGTAATTATCATTGCCATTTAAGTGAAATCACTGAACTTAAATATACAAGTTTGTTAAAAATGATCATTCTAGAAGAACATTTCATATTTCTATATTTTAAATAATGATCTTTGTATATATAGGAGTAGAAATGGTAGTAGATGCATATTACACATCCCAGTGTGCATCACTTTGCTCGTCTTTCACAGCATCTTTCACATTTTATAAAGAGAAATTAATTGGTATTCTGAATCATCTTTTTCTGCCAACTAAACAGTGAATGTGGCTTTAAACCCAAGGTCTTTATATTCCACAGCTACTGAAAATTATTTTTTGAATTATTTTTTTTTTGTATGTGTGATAATTATAATGGCCGACATGAATTTGCAGCAATTTGAGTATTATTACAAATTAGATCCAATTAACTCAAAATAAGCCTTTAGTCATCGCACATTATAGCCTCATGATCCAGGACCCATCAAAGTGCATACAAACAAAAAGATGATCTTTTCTGAAAGTTGAAAGGCCTTTTACTCCGTACACCCTATAGTAAACCATTGATGTTCTGTATAAGGATCTGTTCTTGTATCGCTCTTGTTGACCTCTTTGCCTTCTCTCTTGGCTCACAGCTGAATCAAGGGAAAAGAGGAATGTGCCTAACTGGGCAATGACTTCTTCAGACTTTTTCGGCTGGATTGAAGAGCTGCGTTCTCATGGTGGTTATGACAAGATCGAGGAATTGGCCAGAACTTTCTGGGCTCACTTTCCTTCTGCCAGCCGCCTGGGTTACGACCCTCCCGCTCCAGAAGAATAACGCCATCTGAATCTTGAAGCGTGTGTGTTATCGAGACCATTTGCCCCTTTCATTATGGCACGGCTCTTGGAAAAAGAGACAAACAACCTTTATTAATCAGCTAGACTTGATTTGAGCCAGGGCAAGATGCCCTGAGAAAGGTTTGTTGTTGTTGTTTATGTTGCATAAAACCTGTTATGTAACAGCATCCAAATCAAGTAAAAGTCTTCTGTTCACAAACTGGTTTTTATTTATTTAGTATTGCTTGGAAAAACAAGATATTTTTCTTTAAGGTGCCCATATTAAACTATTTTAAATCCTTGAACAACTGGTTGTAATCCACACTGTGGTATTTTCCCCTATTATGCTATTTTAAAGTGCCCTAATTTTATTTTGGAGGTCTCCAACAATAGGTTTACATGCATTCCAGGTCAAAAAAACACAATTTCCTCATAATATACAGTACATTGCAACATCACCTCTTTTCTGAATGTCTAAAATGATTCAATAAAGGATCCGGTCCCTCTAGTCTAAACCCTTCCTTACTAAGAGCTTTGCTCTGATTGATCAGATGGGCCGGTATGTTGGGATTGGGTTACTGCTTAACCATGTGTAGGAAATGAATAGCCATCTGAAATTCAGCTCCAGATGATTCCTCAGCACTTGTCAATGATACAAATGGCGCCAGTTCTCCCGTATCAATTAGATACGGCACAGAAACAAATGGCTTCTTCCCAACATGTCAACAAAACACACCAAACTCTTCCAGACGTAAGCTACAACAGTGTTTGAGGGTGGGCCAAAGTACATGGGCAGCCAGTGAAAGCCATAGGCTGTCATTGTGCAAATGTGTTACCAAGTTCATACAGGAAGTAAGACTGGGATTACTGATGACTCGTTTCAGACTTGCTTTTTTCTTTTGGGAGACGACAACTCAAAGTGCATTTATTGTGCACTTTAAAAAGTGTTTACATTCACAAACATGTATATATATACACATACTGTATATATACAGCTATATTACACACAACACAATAGTCAATATACAAAAAAAGCATAATAGGGGCACTTTAAAATACATGCACTGCATTTGTTCTTACTATAAGTTAAATGTAAAAGCATACACACAGTAATATCAGCAGGGCGAATAGACATTATTCAGCAGCACAACAGAGCGGGCAGGTGTTCTTTTATCAGGTGGGAATGCAGTCCAGGTGTTAAGAGATGACCCTTTGAACAAGGGTCATCTCCCTCAGGACAAGTACATGCAGGAACATGGTGTTGTGTTTGACTGCAGCAGAAGAACTCCAGTATACTTATACTGAGTGTAATACTCAGTATAAGTGTAAGCGTTTACACAAATACAAGGACGTATAAACTCTTATATTGTGAAAAACACATTTTTCAGTGATTTTCTTTTAGAAAATATACTAGAAATCAAAACATTTGACAGTAAAGTTCAAAAGTTGGCAGCATTTAGCGCATTCAGCTGTGCATGATTAATAAACAATGACTATAATAAACATTTTATTACAACATTTGGATCTAGATGAATGCTTTACAGCATTTATTAATCTAATGTTCATGTTTACATTTTAAATGCACGTAGTAGCACGTATATCGAATAAAATGAATTGGTTTGTTCTTAGTTTTTTTGTTATTGTTAGACTTACTGTCTAGCTCTGATGCTTCCAAGTGGGGCACATGTCTCTTCTGCTCACCAAGAATGTATTTATTTGGTTAAAAATAAAGTGAAAACAGTAATATTATTAAAAAATAATACAATTTTCTGTTTGAATATATTAATATGAATATTTATTTATTAGGTAGTTCCTGTGATGGCAAATCTGAATTTTCAGCATCGTTACTCCAGTCTTCAGTGTCACATGATCCTTCAGAAGTCATTTTATTATGCAGATTTTCTGCTAAAGAAACATTTGGTTTACACTTTATTTCAATAGCCCACTTTAGTCATTCTGCGAACTCTCATTAGAGTATCAAAAGACTGTTATTAGACTCTTAGGTTAGGCGTTAGGGTTTGGGTTAGTTGCAAAGTTACTTAGTAAAATGTCTGTTGAATGTTGGTCCACTCTTCTTCAATGGCTGTGCGAAGTTGCTGGGTATTGGCAGGACCTGGAACACGCTGTTGTATACGCTGATCTGGAGCATCCCAAACACATTAATTAATGCTGACTGCAGCAATGTCCGCCAGAGCTGTTGCCCGTGTGATGAAAGTTCATTTTGTAACCCCTTCACCCGGGTCCCACTCGACCCGCTCCGAGCGGGCCCCGAACCCGGGTCTCCGGCATGGGAGTCAGGCACTCTAACAAAGAGGCTAAAGACTGCAGCCTCTAGCGTCTGTCGCTAGAGGGCCTATTGAGATCAGGGGAGTGAGGTTTACTCACACAGCAACTACTAGCTGGCCTCCGTTACACTCACCCCCCTAAACCTTACTCTCATCCGGGTCACGGCACCAATGTAACCCCTTCACCCGGGTCCCACTCGACCCGCTCCAAGCGGGCCTCGAACGCGGGTCTCCGGCATGAGAGTCAGGCACTATAACAAGGGGGCTAAAGACTGCAGCCTCTAGCGTCTGTCGCTAGAGGGCCTATTGAGATCAGGGGAGTGAGGTTTACTCACACAGCAACTACTAGCTGGCCTCCGTTACAATTTCTCTACCATAAGCCGTCTCCAGGAGTTTCAGGGAATTTGGCATTACATCCAACTGGCCTCACAACCGCAGACCACGTGTAACCACACCAGCCCAGGACCTCCACATTCAGAATCTTCACCTCCCAGATCATCTGAGACCAGCTACCCAGACAGCTGCTGCAACAATCGCTTTGCATAACCAAAGAATTTCAACACAAACTGTCAGAAATCAACAGAAACTGTCTCAGGGAAAATGCATGCTCGTCGTCCTCATCGGGGTCTCGACCAGACTGCATTTTGTTGTCGTAACCGACTTGAGTGGGCAAATGCACACATTCGATGGCCTCTGGAACTTTGGAGAAGTGTTCTCCTCATGGATGAATCCCAGTTTTCACTGTGCAGGGCAGATTGCAGACAGCGTGTAGTGGCATAGTGTGGGTGAGCGGTTTGCCGATGTCAACAAATGATGGATCGAGTGGCCCATGGTGGCGGTGGGGTTATGGTATGGGCAGGCGTATGTTATGGACAACGAACACAGGTGCATTTTATTGATGGCATTTTGAATGCACAGAGATACCGTGACAAGATTCCCCACAGACATCCACGGAACCCCCAATACAGTAAAACTGCACATTTTAGAGTGGCCTTTTATTGTGGCCAGCCTAAGGCACACCTGTGCAATAATTATGCTGTCTGATCTTAATACTGTATATGCCACACCTGTGAGGTGGATGGATTATCTTTGCGAAGAAGAAGTGCTCACTAATGCCTGGCTCACACTACAAGAGTTTAGGCCGATTTATGCCCGATTTTCCACTCACGTGAGTCAGAGAAAAAATATTCGATCGGTTCCGATGTTCGGCGCAGATTATCTGGTAAAGTGAGGCTTTCACTGATCGATTCTTGCACCTCCCTATCTGCTCACACAAAACGGGCTCGCCCCGATCATGTCAAACATGTTTGATGTTTATCGGGGTGAGCAAGATTGTGATTACCAGTAAGTCAGTACTGTCTAGTAGCCAATAAGAAACAAGTAGGGTTGTCATGGTGAAGGAATTTCCATTGCTGTAATTTTGAGTGACTCAACAGTGCAATATGTGGTATTTGTCACAGAACCGGAAGACACAGATGGGTAAGTTAAAGGAGTTTATTGAAGCAGGTAAACAACAAGAATGGCAGGTGAGTATCTGGTTAGTTGAGTTTTGCAGATCACGTTGAACAGTCTTGTTAATAGATTCTCTTATCTTATGCAGGCTGGGCGAGAACGGAAGGCAGACTGAAGACAGGGATCAGGAGGACCGGACCAGGACTAGAGTACAGACGGGTGGCAGACTGAATGAAGACTTCAGGAAAGTAAGTAGTTTCTCAGAATGGCGGGAGTCTGTAGTCGTACGTATCGACGAGACCAGACAACTGATGAAGTGAACTGAAGTGTCTTATATAGTGAGGATGAATTGGAAGGGGATTGCAGGCAAGTGATGGTGACAGGTCATGGTGATTAGAAATCCGGGGAAGCAGATCGAGTGGGCGGAGTGAAGGTGTCTGGCGCTGAGACTGGTGTATCCATGACAGTATTATCCAGCCCATTCTCACCCCACTTAACTGACGCCTTGGGAAGCATTTGGACATGCTTCAATATCTGACGCTTTAGGCGCCCTTTAGCGTCAGTTAGATGACGCCCTAGGATCGTGTGTACCCTACCCCCACCCCACACCTAAACCTAACCGCGTCCTCTAACTGACGCTTTCCTTTAGCGTCAGTTAGATGACGCCGTAGGATCGCGTCATGTAAGTGACGCTAAAGGGCGCCTAAAACGTCAAATATTGAAGCATGGTCAAAGGTGACGCCTTGGGGTGAGAATGCGTTGTATTATCTTCATTTATTTATTTATTGCTAAATAAATAAGTGTTACGCTGTGGTCTGCAGGCACGAAGACGAGTAGGCCTATGTTGTTCAGTAATAAAACCGACACTAAAAAGCACATTGAAACGAAGTGGAGTAAACAGAACATACAATGTCAAAATAAGGGTCCACATAATAACAGAACATAAACCTGAAAATAATCTTTTTAGGCCATTGATATATAAGAGTTAGTTTCGATCCTCGAATCTCACTTTACAAAAGGCTTTCTTCTGATATTTCAATGCGCCGCGTTGGCAACGCGAAGATGATGCTTCACTTCATTGAGATCAATGGCATTTTTTCATTGTATTGACCACAGATGACACCTTAAGCCTAGTTCACACTACATGATTTTAAAATGTCGGGCTGAACTGTGCAGTTCACACTACATGACTTGCTCTCAGTGAAATCATGAGTGTTCAAGTTGTTTAGCTGTTCACACCACACAACACAACGTGATTGATCCAGGAGGTAACTCACTACACGAGTTGACAACGCACTACACAGAGATACAACCACGATCGGATGATAAGAGCATATAATTTGTGACTCAATGAGAGCTGTTTCAGTACTATAATACGGTCTAAATCCTGAAAATAATCAAACAAATAACGAGTTGACAACAACACGATTCTATCTGGACTAGAAACCATGTTTTGTCACGAGAAACCACGCAATAAAACGAACCAGAAATGACGCGAAACTGCAGAGAAGAACACAACACGCGAATATGGACGTCAGACAGAAACTAGTGCTGCACACTGTTTGCTCGACGATCTGCTCTGAGAAAAAAAAATGCAAAAAAGAAAAGAAAAAGTAAGATTTACCTGGTGTCCTCAACCCATGCGTTGCTATGATTGGCTGTACTCATGACATCACTGAGTTTGAGTCACGCGACTGCTCTGGATATCTAGCAGGCTAGATATTTTTCTGGGCTCGGCGACGCGTCTGCGAGGTGTCTGCGAGCGTTTTCGCTGCGTTGTTGGCTCTTTCATACTAACAGATTGGCAAGCGTTCATCGTCCGCTAATCTCCCGCGATTTGCACGCGATAACACCCTGACCTGTCGGCGACTCAACGATTTGCAAATCGGGCATAAATCGGGCTTAAAATCATGTAGTGTGAACTTGGCATTAAATGTTAAAAGGATGATTTTAAAAAAAATCTTTCCTTGGTCATCATGGCAACCTTTTCACAAACATGACTTGAAATAATTTTGTTTTCATCCACTTTTCTGCTTCCGATCTGCTGTGTGAGATCACGTGAGGCGCTTCCTCTGGCACGATAATCTTAACAACATTGTGTATTGTGTGATGTGCCGCGATGTCCAAATCTAATAGTGTGAGCATGTTTAAGATTTGAGGGAAGAAAATCTGCAAAGATTCTCCTTAAGTCAAGTCAAGTCAAGTCACATTTATTTATATAGCACTTTTCACAATACAGATTGTATCAAAGCAGCTTCACACTGATAACATGAAAGTAGCACAACACAGATCAACAACATTGCTAAACACTAAATAATCCCAACTGAGCAAGCTCAAAGCAAGCCAAAAGCAAGGCGACAGTGGCAAGGAACCAAACTCCATCAGATTGGATGGAGAAAAAACCTTGGGAGAACCCAGGCTCAGTCGGGGCCAGTTCTCCTCTGGCTTACATTCGGCTCAGTCGGGGCCAGTTCTCCTCTGGCTTACATTCATATTGTTTAAATATAAATATTAAATATAAATATTGTTTATGAATAAAACGGCGCCATAACATATCGCAGGCGTTGAGTCGTCTCTTCACAGGCGTTGAGTCGTCTCATCACAGGCGTTGGGGCATCCGAAATCCCCATGAGAGGCTGGACACAAAACTGGACCTGACGAACGCCATTTTTCTCGGGACAAGCGTCCCGAGATAACAGCAGAAAGGCAGATGGGAAATAATTAGCATAGCTGATGTTCATAATGATTTCCGTTATAACTCACAAACTCTCCGTAACCTGAACTCTCCGCAACCCAACCATACGCGCCGACCCGTTTGTCTAAAAGGCTGTCGAGCCCCACTGGTGCGTTAAGCAGTTTCAGTGGCAAACGGTTCCGTATGGCATAACAGAGGACTAGACCATTACTTAAGTGTGAGCTGCAACCAGATTTCAAAATTGGTTAGGGTTTTAAAACTCCTGAGCCAGGCTTAACACAGATTAAGACAGATTTGTGAACAATAATTGAGATTCAGCTCATGAAAAATGGGCGCAAAAACAAAAGTGTTGCGTTTATAATTTTTTTCAGTGTTGTTAGTAGAAGTGGACCATCGGAAAAAAAATATATATATATATACTGCATAAATATAACCTAATTATTCCAAACTGGTGTGTATATTTTGCACTAATTAAGATGAGAAAATCTAATTCATTAACTCACTTAGACATGATAATTTGATAAAGGAGGAAAATCTAACTTTATAAAACGCCTAACATTTGGTGTATTGTCCTACATGAGAGGTCTGGTTTTGACTTTGTCAACAGTTGGTTATGCTTTTCAGGTTCCCAGGCATAAACACACAACCAGGAAGCTACTGCTGTACATTTGTGAAATAGCCATAAGCCTGATGTCCTACAGTGTGCAGGGACTTCAAAGCTGTGGCAGGAAATTGAGTTAGAAAGAAAAGATGATGTTTATTGCATCTGAAGAAACATCCGTCTCTCTTCCAAGTTGTTTTGCTGCTTTTGCCCCTACATTTTTTCCTTCGTAAAAAACAGGAAAGTAAAATAAGCATAAAATAGGATTACTAGACTGATAGCATTAAATAAATCAATAACCTATTTGCTGTAACCTGTTTTCTTAACTTTCAATTAAGAAAACAGTGATTGCTGAATATTCCTGTTAGATATTAATAAGTAACAATGTTTACTGCATGCTAATCATTCTTACAGCAAGAAGACTAACCTTTGATTAAAATCATCGGTTACACTAAAGGTGTCCTTGTGACAGTGTAATTATTACATTTAAGGACTGAGTAATAGTAATTAACAACATGGGATAAGGGTTAATTGCTTTTACGTATTTACATGTAACATATGTAACAATGACACTGTAAAATAAGGTGTTAGTGAATCCTCACAATCACAAAGCTGATACAAAATGAGGTAACACTTTACAATAACGTTCATTAGTGAACATTAGTTAATGCGTTAACTAACATGAATTAACATTTGTTACAGTATGTATTAATCTTTGTTAATGTTAGTTAATAAAAATAAAGCTGTTCATTGTTTGTTCGTGTTAGTTCACAGTGCATTAACTGATGTTAACTAATACAACCTTTTGATTTTAATAACATGTTAGTAAATGCTGAAATTAATAGTATCTGTTAATAAATGCTGAAGAAGTATTAGTTAGTTAACTTATGTTAACTAATGAAACTGATTGTAAAGTGTTACCAAAATTTAGTTTACTTAAAAGTTTGAGACCTTGAATCAACCGTTTCAAGCAATAAAACATCATGCACACTGGGAGCTTTCTTTTGGCTTCCTGCAGACATTCCTCCACAAGAGCTAACAGGTCACCTGAAGGAATGTTTGCCTGTTCATCCAGGATGGCTCGCGTCATTGTTCATCTCACCCAAGACCAAATCCATTTAGTGAAGCCATAGCTGATAGAACAACAGCATGTCACTCCACAGCCTCGGTGTGCAAACCGTCCTTCTCATAAGCATCCTTTCTGTCTGCTCACCCTCAGGTATGTCATTTCATGCTTTCCATAGTGCGTCTATCTGGGCTTTCAGACACCACATTTCAGAAGTGACTTATTTAGTTAATGAGGGTGTATAGTGAACTTACAAGCCTTGTAAATAGGTTTTGTGAAATGTGACAAAATGTAAAGGCATGGAAAATGTTAGACTTTGAGCTCAGTCTCGTTTTACAATGCATGATTAACCATGCCCCATGGTGTCCCATTATTTAAACATATTTACAATTACTTTTACAACATTTAATTGAGCATAAAATAACATATTTTACAGTATTTAAAATACATTTTCTATTTAATACGTAATTTAATTTTGTAACATGCCAACTCTGCATTGTAAAAAAAACAAAAACAAAAAAGGGAATCTGGAAACATTAATATAATACAAGCTGCAATTATCAGGGGTCAAGCATGTATGGAGAACCAAAATTGCAAAATTTAAAAGATTGATCGTTTGGTCATTTTAACTTTCTAAATCACAGTTGCACATCTTTGATATAGCACCCCTTGCATAACAAATGTATGAAATTTGGCGTGTTTTTGATTCCAGATTGTTTCAGTTGCTTAGACATAGCATCATACGCTGCATGTATACACCGAGTTTGATTACCATTGGCCAGTCAAAAATGAATGTATTGTCTGTTGAACTTTGATTGGCTCATTTCCCCCCTTTTATTTTTGTTCCTTTGTCTGTTTGATAATATCAGGTAAAGTAACCACTTGAACAAGAATGCATGTTAAATTCTAGTGCCCCCTATAGGAAGAATTTGCCATAGAATGTCCTGTTGTTTACAGCAGTGGAGCTCAATCCTTGTTCATGGATATCTACATACCCACAGAAGAATTCAGATCAAGCTGAACTTTTCAGGAAGGTAGATTTCCAGGAACAGGATTGGGCACCACTGGTTTACAGTATAAGTGTTTTGAAGCTTGGACTTCTGAAGATATAAATGTTTTTTCTTTATTACAATTTTTTTTTAAATTAGTTATTCAAATGTTATTCTTTGTAGGATTTGTTTGTGTTCACCTGGATAGTAGGGAACATATGGGACCATCCCACAAAGGTTGTTGACTTCCTCTAAAACTTACGGTCTCTGACACAGAGACATTTTTAAAGCATAATTATAAAGAAAATCTTAAAAGAATGCAGTAAGGTTCAGTCAACTATGATTTCCATATGGGTGTCAATTATTTTAAGCTGACACAACTGATATTGATTTTACAGATAACTCAACTGTTACTTTGCGGTGTTTGTAAAGAATGTAAATAGAGACAGACAGATGTGGGATGATACCATTTATGGAATTACTTACAATATTGTCTTAATTATATAATGGGCCAACGTTTATGATATAAATCAATCTATTTCATCAACATTGTTTGCGTTTTTAGGTGGTTCATCCGAGAGAAGACTTCACAGGATCCTCATGAATCAAGATGGTAAAATAAGAATCCATTTTAAACATTTTACTGGTTAATGATGTATGGTTTATTAACTCTCTCATTCTACCAGCACATTCCATATTCCTAGTAAATCCTTAGTACTTTTCCATAAATCTGTAATTATAGCCTGATGCCCTCCTGATGCCTTTTTCTCCATCAAATTCTTCACACTTGTCCATAAATCAGCTTCTGACCTCCAAAACCTGACAGAGATTGATGGCTGATATATTCCAAGGGAAGATAACATGGATGATTATAAGCTGAAGGCATCACTGATATTTATAACATGGAGGTGTGGAAGCTTTGGGCTGTAGATCAGGTCAGAGTCTCTAAGTGTCATCGTCAGAGCAAGATAATTGGGCAGGGGTACTGTCGCTTTAGGGTGTTATCATCATCTGTGCTTAAAACACACATTTCTTTTTTTAAAAGTTAACCAAAAAACAACAACACCAAACATGAACCCCTAAACATGAATGCATAAAGGGGGTAAAAATGATCCACATTGGAATTAATGGTTTTCTTGTATGTAAATATGTGTCCTATTATTAAAAATAATTGATGATACACAAATGTTTTAATATTTCAAACATGTTAAAGGAATAGTTCACTTTGAAATTATTTATATATATATATATATATATATTAGCTTCCCTCAAGGGCATCCAAAATGTAGGTGTCTTTGTTTCCACAGTATTTTCAATTTTTATATTTTTAGGTCAAACCGTTATTGTCTGTCAGTCATATAATGGAACTCTATGGTCACAGAGAAGTCCAAATTAAACATGATTTAATGACTTAAGTACACATTGATGGCCTAATACACAAAACGAGCAGTTTATGAGAGAAAACAAACAGTATTTATGTAGTTTTTGCCTCTTGTAATCACAGTCACATCCAATCTGAAGGCACGGGCGCTTCGGTCTGCGTGCGCATGCGCCGGAAGTGATCTCTCTTTTGTGTACGTCAATCATAGTTTAAACAGAGATTTCGGAAGTTTTACCTTTCACTGTGACGATCTAAACATATTTAGATATACAGGAAATTGCAATGGAAGACGATTTCGATACTTAGATATTCACAGTATATCATCCAGCATTCCGTTAATTTTGTGAATTGGTAAGTTTTGTTACATCCTCGCAGATATAATTTCTTTCAAGAAAGGAACTATCTTTGACAAAAAAGGCCTGTAATTGACTAATTCTGTGAATGAATAATTCATAGTGAAAGCATCTCTTTCAGTAATTTAGTCGGTATAGGGTCTAGCATTCAAGTTGTTGATTTAGATGAATTATCGAGTTTGCAAAAACTCTTTCTCTTCTATAGCAACAAATGAACCAAATTTTTCCTCAGGGATACAATGCACCCCCTAATGCGATACTTTAGCAGACGGTTGCATAGTAATAATTTTGTCCCTGATATTTTCAATGTTTATTATAAGTGAAGAAATTCATGAAGTCTGCTGTGCTGCTTGGACACTTCTGGTCTTGAAGCTCTCTTTTTCATTTAGCCACTTTTTCAAATAGATATAGGATTATGTTTATTTTCTTCTAATAGGTTTGAAAAATAAGCAGATCTAGCAGCTTTTAAAGCATCTCTTTATGCGATCAAGCTCCCCTTCCATGAAATACAAAATACCTCTAGTTTAGTTTTCTTCCAGCTATGCTCCATTTTTCTGGCTGATCTCTCAAGGGCCTGAGTGTGCTTGTTGTACCACGGCATTGGAATATTCTCTTTAATCTTCTTTAAGCGCAACGGAGCAACTGCGTCTAAAGTGCTGGAAAAGAGAGAGTTAAAAGATTCTGTCACAATATCGAGTTTTTCTAAGCTATCCGGGATGCTGAGCTGATGAAACTGATCAGGAAGATTATTGATAAACCAATCTTTAGTGGCAGAAGACATAGGTCTAACATATTTATATCACGGAGTCGGCTTTGCAGCCTTGGCTAAGTGAAGTTTACACGAGACTAGATAATGATCTGAGATGTCATCGCTCTGCTGCAGAATTTCAACGGTATCAACATCTATTCCATGTGATAGTATTAGATCTAAAGTGTGATTACGACAATGAGTAGGTCCTGACATGTGTTGTCTAACTCCAATTGAGTTTATAATGTCTTCAAATGCCAATCCCAAAGCATCTTTTTCATTATCTACATATTAAAGTCACCAACTATTTGTACTTTATCTGCAGCCAAGACTAACTCTGACAGAAAGTCCGCAAATTCTTTGATAAAATCTTTATGGTGCTCTGGTGGCATATATAGTAGACAGCAGAATTCTCAAATATGATTTATCATTTACACTATACAGGGGTTGGACAAAAAAACTGAAACACCTGGTTTTACTACACAATAATTTGTTAGAATGGTGAGGGCCTCATTTTGCATCCAAATACAGCACCAATTGACAGATAGAAGTCCTTCACAGTGACCAGAGGGATTATGAGCTGTTCCTCTTCCAGAACATTGTCCAGGTCACTATATGATGCTGGTGGACTCGCTCCTCCAAAACACCTCAATAATATTCAGATCTGGTGACTGTGAATGTTCAACGTCACTTTCATCTTCATCAAACCCTTCTGTCACAAGTCTTGCTGTGTGTGTTGGTGCATGATCATACACGGTTTGAGCATCAGGTGCTCATGATCCTCCAGAAGGGTTTGGTAGTCCTCGGCAGTGTCGTGTCCATCAAATACAATCAGGATTGTCATGATATTGGAGCTCAAACCATCACTGATCCACCCGTGCTTCACTCTGAAGATTGGCCGCCAGGCATATAGATGTGAAACCTCCAACATTGGCCAGTGTTTCAGTTTCATTGTCCAACCCCTGTATATTTCTACACTAAGCACCAATACTTCAATAGAAGTATATTTAAAGGAGCATTTCACCCATTGCAACATTAATCTTTATTGAAAGTGGATCATATATGTAGTCAAAATGTAAAATAATTTTTTAATTTGGTGCCCTCTTGACCGAGAAAAGACTAACCAAGGGGCGCATTTGTGTTAAAACTACAGTACCCAGAATGCCACTGCAATGGACAGCTCCGCAAGCCACACCCACTAACCCACCCATCCACCGGAACTGCGCAAACAGAGAATTCACTCTTCCGTCTACAACGCTAACATTAGTGCGCGAGGCCGGTGGCGTGAGTGATAATGAAAGACACCTGTAAGGCGCGCGCCGGTGCGTCTCACGAAGGAGCGAATGCATAAAATGGGGAGCGACGACGGCAGATCGAGAGAGAAACAGGCCTGATTTTATGTTTATTTGTTTCTGTTGTGTGTAACGCTGGCTTACTTTCGTTTTGTATTTGTTCATTTTACTATGAACTGTAATAGGCCTGTGGGTGAGTGGGTGCCACACCCTTGAATAATAATGAGCTAATCATAGTAGTCTGTTGACATTTCAATGAAATGTGACTTCCTGCTTATCGTGACGCAAAATGACGATTTTTACGTCACGATAAGCAGGAAATAAAACACTTAAATCCTTATTTCTCCCATCTCGGGGGGAAATAAGGGGATAAACCATGACCATTCAAAAATATGACTGGGTTTCTAAAGATACAAAGCTTAATGCAAATGGGTGAAGTGACCCTTTAAACTGCTCAATTCATGTGGATTTATTTTTTATCATCTCTTTGTGAACATTTTTGAAGTGTGAGTTTTGGGTGAATATACTTTCAATGGAGGAACATAAATATCTCAGATTTCATTTAAAATATCTTCACTTGCCATGAAGATGAACGAAAGTCTTACGGGTTTAGAACGACATGTGAGTGAGTAGATTACAGAAATCTTTTAATTTTTGGTGATTTGAAGTCTCCGGCTCACAGAACCTTATTTCACCAAGTGCAACATGTTCCTGAATCAGCATTCCAATCAGGATTTGAAGGAAAGTTTACAGTTTATATCAAGCCTGGGTTAGGTGCTTCAATATCAGTGTAATTCACCTATTATTTCGCTCTTACTTTAGGGATAACTTATGGATAGGGTTAAGTTTAAAGGTAGGGATATGGTTATGATTAAATTTTCGGACTGGAATGTTGTTCCAGGATCAAAAAAATATATATGTTTACACAGGAACATGTCTAACTCAGCAAAATCAGGACGTGCCTCTGACTCTGGCCTTGAATGTTTTCTATTCTCTTCACACAGCAAATGAGCTGGAAGCCAGGCCTAAATCACAGATCGCAGTGTCGCAGTCCAAGGCTAAACAGTTTCTATCAGCTCTTCACAGGACTAAGAGAAACGTATGGGACCGAAGCCGTCCCGATGTCCAGCAGTGGATCCAGCAATTCATGAACATGGGCTATGATGAGGCAGTGAGTAAAACAGTAATCACACAAATGATGTCAAATAGCATATGTCAATTGTCATTACGCTATCAAATGCAGTCTGCCTCATCGTTTTGCATTAAATAAAGTGCATTAAATATTCACACTGAATATTTTTTTTTGATATAACCACTGGATGTCTAGTAGCTAAATGTCAGCAAATTTCAAATGAAGCTGAGCCTAAATATAGTTATAATAAGAACAGGGTGATGTCTCAGATAAACCTAGTGTGCTTTGAACACTGTACTGTGTGATTAGTGCAGTGCCGCTGACTACTGATGCAAACTAAAACACTAACTAAACGGATGACTGTAAGTGATAAACTGATTGACTATTCATGTTGAACATTCATGTTGGTGGCCTAACCACACATTTTTTAATAATTTACTTATTTTATTTTCTGATGGGCCATTTACACAACAGTTTTCAACTAAAAACTGAAAACTTTTTTTTTGTTTTGGCCATTCAAGTTTTCTGCAAGTTTTTGAAAACGATAACTTTATCATCGTAGTGTTAACTACAAAAATATGAATTTGTGAAAGGGTGACGTCATGCGCATGCGTATCGTGCTCAGTCTATATGAGCATAGTGTTTCTTTACAAGGTGACATCGCCAATTACTGGTCTACCATAATGTTTTTAGTCGTTTTCATGGATATGTGTGAACTGTGATTGTTTTGACAACTTTTCATCTGAACGCATTTTTCGTATAAACGTACCCTAATACAATTAAAATTGTTCCCCACAAAAGACTATTGGATTCAATCAGAAGACCTGGAATTAAAGTTCTGTTATGCTGTTTTTAAGGTTGCTAATTTTGTATTAGAGGTCTCCAATGATAGGTTTACAAGGCCACATAAAAATGTAATTTTCTCAAAATATACAGCATCACCTCTTTTCTCATAGTGTCTAAAAATGAATTGATAAAGTATTCGGTTTTTCTAAACCCCTTCTTTCCAAGAACGTACTCTGCACTGATTAGTCAAATGACCAAGTCTGTTGTGATTGGTCTACCGCTTACAGCAAGCGTTGATACCATATCTGAAGCTCTGGATGCTTCCTCAGCACTTGTATACACAGTAATATAAAGAGTATGATTGCAACAGTTTTACTATATCAATTCGAGCCCAAGTCCTTATCCTTGAAGTGCATGGAAAGTGCAGAAAACAGTGTGTGTCTTATCCACTGCGCCATCACCCCCCCAGCATGTCAACAGCATGCACCAATTTCTTCCAGGCATCAGCTCCGGAACTAACTTTTGAGGGTGGGTCAAAGTATATAATGTTTCGCTGGAAGCCAATGAAGACCATAGATTGTTATTATGCACAATTGTTACAACCCATAGATTCATGGAGAAAGACTGAAATTACCAACACTATCTCACGACCAATTCGTACGAATTTGACGCATGATTAAAAAGTGTCTAATTCGTACTAATTCGTACGACCTCACTCGTACTAATTCCTACGATTTGTCTAAACCCACGTGATGGTTAGGTTTAGGGGCGGGGTCAGGGGTAGGTCATTCGTACGAATTCATACGAATTGGCCAATTCGTAAAATATGTACGATTTAGCAAAATCGTATTAATTCGTACGTGTGAGGTCGTATGAATTGTTACGAATTAGCCATTTTTTAATCATTCGTCGAATTCGCACGACTTGGTCGTGAGATCGGGTTGAAATTACTGACAAGTTCAATTTCAGGCATTTCAGAATCGGTAATTTCTTTTAGGAGACAACGACTCCAAATTAGACATTTAGATTTGTGATTTCATTTTTGACACTGAGTGTGAGTCTGGTCTGCAATGTGTACTCATTCATTTGCTGTCCATCTCTGTTGTGTCTGCACAAAAAAACAAAAAAAAACAAAAACAAATGTAACCTAAATCTTTTCCCATACAGTGCAATATCCGCTCTCATGCAACATTTATGTATTTCCAGAGACTTGAGACTGATCTTTCCTATTGGATGGACCAGGCCAGATCAAATGACCAGGGCCGGCAGCATCATCATGATGAGAATGCACCTATGAGCCAACAGGACCCTGGTTCCTACAGACACGGGGCCAATGTCAATTACGATTACTATTAAAACACCTCATAAACTATCTTGAACCTAACATTCGCTGTGAGCAATGTACATACCACACAACCTAATGTCCCTTATATGATGTGTATTTTTTTTTAAATCAATAAATCACATTTGTGTGAGAGGAAGCACATCAAGATTGAATTGTAGAGAGTGGAATGAATGCACATTGAATACATTTTTTTTCTTGTTTGCATGCTTGATTGCATTACATCCTGACTGTGTTGTAAATATAATGGAAGTTTGAAGTGGCTACATCTTGAATAAAACTTCAATGAGGTGACAGCCAACAGACTTGCATAAGCATGTACAAAAAAGGATATTGAATTAAGTTGAATTAAGATAAGCATGACTCATTTAACTGCAAAATGGATGGACTCAGACATAATGATTTCATAACTCGATTCATACAAAGGCCGCAACATCTGAGGCTAAGAGCAACATAAACCTCCTTTACAAACTACCAATGAATAGAGGACAATAGACTCCTGGACTCAGTTAGTCAAAAGAGGTTTTCAGAATTCTTATAGCATGTTCTTTATTTTTTTAAACCAGACAAGAAATGCATTTTAAATATTACATGAGTGGTGTTCCAAATATTATCACTGTGGTAATTCACAGCCATGCTAATACTGGGACCACCAGCACAATTTTGAGTGAATGTGATAATTTTAAGTTAAACAAATAGTATTGTGTGTTTTTTTTTTTTTTTTTTTTTTTTTTTTTTTTACAAAATACCAATTACTTTGTTAGTTTTAGTTGCTCCATCAGCAAAAATATATTCAAACAATGTCAAAGCAGAATCTACAATTGAGCAACACAAAATAGTGAGCTTTCCATCCATCCATCTGTTTTGTGGCACACTGGTCAAATACTGTGCTGGTGGAAAATGTCTAATGTTTTACAATTAAGAATAACCAAGAAAATACCTTTTTTATTTAGTTTTGTAAGCCGAAAAGCTTACAGGGCTTTTGAAAGTTATGTTCAGATTTGTTGATGTCTGGTTGGAATGTAACCTGAGGGTAAAAATCAAAGCCCGAGTCTGTCAGGGCAGAGACACAGAAAAAAACAGAGTTCCTTCTGAGGGTTATGCCTAAGTCTGAAACTGGACTTTTTTAACAAACAAATCTGGATTTTTACCTTTTCAGCAAAAGAGTAAACAGGGGAAATGCTATACAGATGTTTCAAGCAAGTGAATGCTTTATTTACAATTACATTTTCCATGTGGCAGATGGTGATTAATGTTTCTCACAGATTTTGTTACACCAGAGCAAAGAGCAGACATGGTAAAAAGCAGACTAGCATAATACTGAATGTTCTCACCTTTTATGAAAAATTTTATCTGTGAGCTGTCACATCTGTCATTGCAGTAATTTTCCTGGTACATGCATATCGCCTACAACATAGTATAATGAGAGAGTGATTAGGTCTTTCAGTGCTTTATCACTGTGTATAAATGAAAAACAAACAGTGTTTGTGTGGTAATGTCTGTGTGAGCGTGCAGGGGTGAAGTGCAAGACTACAGTGGATCAGAGCTGTGGTTTAGCCATCACCCTGATGTTATTGCTTCACAATCCCTCATTTATGTCCAGCTCTGTAAACTAATACTGTAGGTTTCTATCTTTAGCACTGAGAGATTTGTTATATAATACAAGTACGTTTGAAGATCAAACACACCTGTGGAAAACCTTTTCTATCGCTATAGACAATATTTCGAACAGAAATACTGTTTAGATGGTATTTATTATATCCAGAAGTGAAGCATTACTCTGTCATGTACTCTTTTTATCATGTTGAGCATTCATCTTTCCCTTATTGTATGTCTTCATTTCACTTGGTATTCCTCTCAATGGGCTTTTAATAATGTTCTTCAATAAAAACTAAACCCCAAAAGGTAAAAGAACGTTTCACAAGGGTTTTTTGCACTGCACATAACCCTGGGTTATTGTTCTAAAGCCCACTTTTAAACCTAGGTAAAGGAATGTTGGTAATACTTTACAATACGTGTGCACTAATAAGCATTAATTCATGCTTAACTAATGCACAGATAGTACTGAATTAATGTGTAACTAATGATTATTTAAGCTATTCATTAATGATTACCACATTAGGAACTAATTAAGAGTCTGTAAGGTTAATGTATTAATTCATACATGAATTGTTATTAATTAAATATTTAATTGTGGATTAATTCCATAATAACTAATTTTTTTAACTAATAGTGTTAATTACCAGAATGAGCCAAAACCTTGTATTTCAACTTCCAAGTAATATGACAGGTACGAGCCCGTTCTCATCCCAAAGCGGCATATAGGACGCTTTTGCAAAAGCGTAAATATCCAACGCACATGGCACCCTTTAACGTGAAATGAGACGCAGATATATTTGGGCAGAAGGCGCCCCCTAGTGGTCTAACCCTTACCCTACACCATACCTAAACTTAACCATTAACCGAATCGTCTCATTAGACGTTAAAGGGTGCCATGTGCGTTGGATATTTACGCTTTTGCAAAAGCGTCCTATATGGCGCTTTGGGATGAGAACGCGTTGCAGGTACACATGATTAATTACTTCATTGTTAGTGCAAATTCATGTGCAAATTACTATAATTACTAAATGACTAGTTAATAATGATGTGCCTCAACAAGTAAAGTCATAACATAATGATACCTTTGTAAATCATTAGCTAATGATTAATTAAAGCAGACAAGTGGAAGTTGAATTGCATAGCTTTGACTAATTGTGATAATTAACACATTAATTTACACTATTAGTTAAGAAAATATGTTATTAAGGAATTAATACACAATGACACATTGAATTAATAGCAATTCATCTATTACTTAATCTAGTAATCATTGACTCTTTATTAGTTGCTGATGCAGTAATGATAAATTAATGGTTTAGTTCTTCATTAGTTATACATTAACTCATGATTATCTGTGCATTAGTTATGGATGAATTAATGCACATTAGTGCACCCGTATTGTAAAGTGTTACCGGAATGTTACATACTTGTAATGCTAAAATGCGACAATTGGTGTAAAGAGGAGACCATTTCATTCTTACCTTTATTGTTCTACAGTAAGACAGAACTGTGGTCATTTGCATGGCATAGGGCAGGGTTTGCTAACCTTCGACAGTGTAACAATGATCGCAGACAATTGATAACAGCTTAGGGGCAGTGATAGCCAACATGGCTCATTAGTGATCTCTGCATTGTGCTGGAAACAATTCCTGTCGACTCACACCCACGGCATGTCTGATCTGCTCAAATGCTCCTGAAGACATTAATGAAACTGAGAGCTTCATTAATGAAACTGAGACAACAGCTTGTAATCTCCTACAGCTGTCTGAATTGCACCACAGTATCTCTGCAGAATGCACATCCTACTGGGCAAAGTAAGAGATCCTGTGGTCTGGTTTAATTTTAAAGCACTTCTTGCCTCCTCTCACATCTTGAGATCAGAGGAATATCTGACACCCAGGCTGAGAGAAGTCTCTGGAGCCAGGCAAAAGTTGTGTATGGAACTGACAAAGAAAAGCATTAAATTATACAATATGCTTTAATGAATTCCCCCTGTGATGAGTTCATTTATATTGATATAATTTTGGTATATATATATATATATATATAAAATATTAATCGCACTTACAGTGGGTTTTACAGTTTTACTCAATAAAATAAAATAAAAACTGGAATAATTAACTGCATAAAACCTCTGATCTAATACTTGTTGAATAGTTGAAGCAGCCTTTGATTTTATTACAGGAATGTTTCTGTTTTGACATGTGTCTTATAAGTTTGGCATATCTTGACTTGGCAATATTTTGCCAAAAACGTGCAAAAACGTTCCAGATGTGTTAAATTGTGAGGGTAGCTGAATGATTTTGAGCAAAAGATGATATATCTGAACTTGAATAATTACACATCAGAAATCAATGACCACAGATCAGGCATTAGAATAAACATAGTTACTTAAAAGTTTGTGGTGTTGCTGGTAGATCCATATCGTAAAAATCTGTTTGCAAAGCCTGCATCAAAATTGCGACTACCAAATAAATAATCCATTGTGAAATGCAATGAATACAAACAAATGCACTGCTGAGAAATTCACATTGTTGATAGGATCGTTTGGAAAGTAATGGTATTGATCCTGTGTCGATCTTTACTCGTTCTCATGTCACAATTCACCAACGATCCAGTGGCCGCTGCCAACGACGTGGTGATTTAGACGTAGGTATTGATATTACTTTATTAATGTCACTTATTATAAAGTGTTACCAATTAGTACCAATTATTTTTAATGAAAAGTCATGGAAAAGTTTTCCTCAGTTTAATCAATTTTATTTTTTGAGTGCAGTAAGCTAGGAACTACTCACACTAGAAATACTTCCCCCAAATGCTAGGGTGAAGAATAACAAGTCCTCTCAGTAATGCAAAAGCCATGTTCTAGATCCCCCACTGATACTAGACATGACAGCATGTCACCATTTCTGGCCTATAGATGGGAGAGAGACTCGTGAAAAGGAAACAGTTGATAGAAAGACACTGGCATTTCTCTCAGTGAGCTTGTCACAGGTCAACATGCAGTAGGTCAACTCCAACTGTCTTATCTCTCATGTACTGATAATGTCAGCGACAGTGTGAATCAATCGCTTTACATTTCCTCAAAAAAATAACTTTTCCTCTTTTGTAAAAAAAAGCCTTAAACTGAGTAACGTATCTTTTTCTCTCACAGCATAGATAAAAAACACAATGACTGTGTCCAGCATAGAAGTAACAGATACATGTTTCTGTGAGTGACTTGACTGTAGCACACAGAAAAGAAACACAGAGTATATATGATGAACCAGCACAGGACTGAAACCACAAGGAGAATAAATAGGGGGAGCAAACAAAGCAGGCAATGAGGAAGGACAGATGGGCAAATAAATCAATAATCAGGTCACTAGATGGGAGGGGCTAGACAATCAACAGGAGAGCACATACATGGTAGAAATCCATAATAAAGGCTATATATCTTATGACGTCTCTATCGTCCTCAACGGTGGCCATGTTGTTGTCACAAGCAAGCTTTCTGGCAGGCTCTGTAGTATACCTGATGTAAGATGAGTGATCAGCACGAACACAAATACAATCATCTCGTTGAAATCTTGACGGATTTACAAACGGTTTGAACGTTATTAACATAGCTAGTATAATTCTGGATGAATAATAATTTATACACTTATTACGCAGTGTCATAACTACATCTCTGATGTAACAAACCAACCCGTTAATATTTAG